TAGAAGAAAGTTAGGGGCTGCCGGACGAAAACACGGTCAGAATTCATCAAGCCACTGAAAACTGGACTGAGCCACGTCGGTAGATGTCGACTACCTGGTTGTGGTCCGCCATACGAAAGTCAACGATGGTTAGAGACCCTGGATGACATAGCTCAAAACCGTTTGCAGTGGCGCCGGTGCATTTATTCTTTGTGTTCTCTCAAATCCTAAACTTTTTAATTTTTCATCACTTTATCCTTATCTTTTCAAGTCTATTTCACTAGATTCTACTTCTTGAATAATATCTTCTAATTCTAACCTCTCCGACTACTGCTAATACCTTTACTACCTCTACTAATATGGGATTTGAATTGACAATTACATCTCTGTGTTAATGTGGTATGACAACATAAACTGATGTACGTACGTACGAAGTTCTATGTTGTTGTTGTTGACTGAAGTGCAAAGGAAAGACACCTAGGTGGATGTTATGGTATCGCGGCTCAAAGAACAGATAATGGCGACTATCTGCTACAGCGATGTTCAGATAACGGCCTATATCTAGCGAACACCAATTTTAAGCATAAGGAAAAACATCTGTTGACATGGTGACCCCAAAAGTCATCTCAACGCTCGACCCCACTAGATCACATCGCCATCAGCCACCAATGGAGGGGCTCGATAGGAGGCTGTCGCTCGTTCTTGAGCAATTGTTTAAATTCAGATCATGTTCTAGTGCGAGCGCGTATTTGTTTAAGGCTTACTGGATCTAGGGAGGGACACTGCAGGGAAACCTGTTAGGATTCTACTTAATGAAAAGAAAACAGTTAGGCGGCCATATAAGTGATTTCCATCCGGAATGATATCCAAAATACTGTGAAAAAAGCAGTGATATCAGCTAGTAAGGTAAACAATAAGGTTAGGGATAAGCTGTGGATCTCAGTAGCATTCACCAAACTGATAGACGCTCGGACACTTATCCCTCCTGGCTCTGAACATGACGAAGAGCGAAGCCAGCTTAAGCGCAGGCTGATAAAAAGCCTACGAAACGACGGCGAACAGTGGTGGGTGGCGAAAGCAAAAGCGATGGAAAAGGTAGCGGCGATAGGGAACAGTAGGCAACTATTCAGACTTATCAAGGAAACTGGTATTAACAATCCATCTGTTAGAGAAACTATGGCAGAGAAGGATCATTCATTCTCAATCCATGAGATCGGGTCGATGGACAGAACACTTCAGGGATCAGTTAAACTGGTCTTTAGCCACACTTCGGTCACCCACAATCTCCAGTTATCCTGGATGGCAAATCGATATAAGTCCTCCAAGTCTTCGCGAAGTAGACAAATCTATAGGAAATCTGAAGCGAGGACGAGCTCCGGGGCCTGACATACTCACCCCTGAGACTTTTTCAGATATTGGTCCAGTTTTAGCAACTAGATTGACTGAGATCTTAGGTAGAATTTGGGCGTAATCTCATCCGGCTGGTCTCAATATACAATAAAGGACAGGAATGCTCTTATGATAAACAAAGAGGAATCAGTAAAAATTGAGTATCTAAAATATTGGCCTTAATAATACTCGGACGCTTAACTAGAGTTCATGAAGAGCAGACTAGAGAAAACCAGCCTGGTTTCAGACCTGGACGTGGCTGCATAGACCACATGTTCACACTACGACAGGTACTGGAACATATATACACATTTAGACAATAGTTGTTTTCCTGGACCTTAAGGCGGCATTTGACTCTATGGATCGTGAGGTTCTGTGGCAGTGTCTGTCATTATAAATGCTTTTAGAGTTAACGTTACCTTCATCAGACGTTTCAGGGGTAGACCTTCTACTCGCTTGTTGAATATGCCGATAACATAGTACTACTTGGTGGAGGCACTGACAAAATGCAGATTTTTCTGACCACCCTAGGCAACAATGCAAGCATGTTCAAGATGCGATTTCCCCCCTCGAAATGCAAAATGTCGCTTCAAGATTGGCTTGCGCCGGCACATGATCTGGTTATAGGGAGTGAAGTAGTTAATCTGGGAGGTCTCATCAGCGCTGATGACTGTCGAAATCTCAACACGGATAAAGAAGGCTCGACTGGCTTTTACCAACCTGCATCAATTATGGAGTAGGCGAGATATTCATTTGCCAACCGAAGGACAAGTGTACTACGCAGTAGTTCGCTCCGTTCGACCATATGGATGCGAAGCATGGCCAGTCAGAGATTTAAGTAGGTTACTGGTATACGACCACAGATGTCTTCGAAGCATTGGTGGTGTATCCTGGGGCAACCGAGTGAGCAATGAGGGTATCAGGAAACGAGTACTATGTAAGGATTGCAAATCAATAGATGAAGTATTGAAACTTCAGCAGTTGAGATGGTTGGGACATGTGTTACGGATGCACGACCACCGATTACCTCGAGCGGTTTTTTCGTGTGGGAATAGGTTGGAAGAAAGTTATGGGTGGCAAAACCAAAACATTGATCTTAGCAAACTGGAAGCGTGACCGTAGAGGCCAGAGGACATCTGCTTGAAACAGGTCAAGCACGTCCTCTTTATGCGAAGTTTTTGAAGTATTAGCTCCTCTATTCATAGGACCTTATTGCCGGGATGCATTGCTATCAAATAAGACAAAGTGATTTTTTCTGGGTTTAGTGTTTTTAGCCCTTCGCTTACACTGTGACAAAGCAGCTTCGCTGCAGATGCTGGTTGTCAAAGAGAAACACATAATTGCTGTCACATCTCTTGTTCAGTCTTACCGTTTTAAAGTGAACACAACAGTTTCCAGTAACTTTTACGTGCGAACTAATTAGTGATATCCACCTGCCCATATCAAAATAGAGGGGGAAATTCAGAAATGTAATTTCATGAGCAGTTCTTCAACTAACCAACTTCCTTTGGGGCGATCAGACCACGACATACCATTAATCCACTAGTGCTAAATCTTCACTTAATTGTGCTTAACTAAGGTACCTTCTATGTCTTAACATACATTAACTATATAGTTTAAAGAAGCAACCTTCACGGTCAAACTAAACTAGATTGAAGAAATACAGTGCCTAGAACTTTGTTGTGGATTTTGTAAAGCCAAAGGCTGAACAGTTAAAATATCTGCTCTCTTTATATTAACAAACAATCAAAATCTAAGGAGACGACAGTCAACTGGAGATAACCGCTTACATCAGGCATGTTGTTCAGATCAAACAGTGTTTAATTAATATCAACAATGTTCTGAAGGTGATGTCTACACTTAGTTCGAAAACAAACGCATCCAGTTTACATGAAGACACTAGGTAGCTCATTCTCGAAGAAAGAAGATTGTCCAAAGTTGACCTCTCAGATTAAACCGTTTAAAAAGCAGCAGACAGATTACATCAAAACGAACGGCTCCGGATATAAGATCTACTTAACTAAATGCGTATTATGAGTGGCAACAGATACATTTCAGGATTGAAAAACCACGCTGAGAATAAGAGAGATTACTAGTTGGTAGTACTATCCCAAATAACTACCTTATAGCCTACACTATCGAATAAGGACAGTAGTTGTACATATTTACAAGCTTTCAAACACCTACTCACAACTACACAATGTGGTACATATATAAACAAGAATCGAACTAGCAACACTCTGGAAAGTTTCAAATACGACTTTCCAGTAACAATCCTTTGAACTAGTTCTCACTAAACCATACGCGACAAGTGCTTCGAGACTACAATATTTTCAGCCTTTAGGAGTGAAATTGTGGACCGAGAAAGAACTAAGTCATCAGTTGGTTTGCCTTGCTATATCGGTTTACATTAACAACGCACACAGCAGTCACTATGAGTTAATCCCTCTAATCTCGTTACCCAATGACAGTCATTCAGAGACGGCGTTAAGATCGACGTGAGATAACATAACTAGAGACTTAGAACATCACTAGAAAACGCTTTACGACTCCGAAATCCTGTTATCCTAAAGATAATAAATATCTTAACACGAGTAAACACACTACCGAAAATTACATGTGGTCTTATTCCCAACATGAAATCAAACTGTGGCTTAAAGGAACCGCTTGGATAAATACAAGTTTTAATAGCTTTGATCAAATATTAACAGACTACTTGATTCTCAGTAGATTAGATGATGAGTATCACGAGTGGCAATGGCCCAAGAAATGAATTTCCATGAAGTGAATTGATACAATTAAATGCTGAAACAAGTAAAAAATGTATAAGTAAACCAGCCTGTAATGACAACTGTCACTAAAAACGGAACAACTCTTGTTGAAATAAAGAAGAAATACTCAGAACAAACATAAGAATGTTTTCACAGACACACAACTGACAGACCATTAGAAATCAAATAAGAAAGTAGTTACTCAAGGGTTGAGACAAATCGACCGATACTGGAAATAACACATATTTCATCAGTGAGTAGTACAAGAAGGAGGCAGAAAATACGTTTATCAAAATGTTTTGTGTAGAATAACTGGCTTCGTTCTCACATAGCATACTTTTGTGTCCACTCTCTGGCTAAATCATCATACTTTTTGCGATCTGATTTGTATTGACGTGCAACATCTGGGCATAGAGGATCATCTGGATTGGGGTCTGTCAATAACGAGCAAATTGAAAGCAGAACTAATTTAGACATAAATTCAGTACTTATATACGATGGATTACCTTTTGATATTGTTAGGGCGGGAGACCACTGACCCCGAAGAATATCTAAACATATACTGCCATTGGTATTTATATTTGGATGATATATCTTTGTGTTGAAAGTAATCTGCCATTAATTTAGCCAGAAAATTACACTACGCTTACCTTAGGAGGTTTGAAAGGATATTCTGTGGGAAATGATATACTCAGGAAAAAGACTCCACCTTCATATGGACTATCGGCCTATGGGTACATTATTACGGAATAAAAGAACCTACAGGTCCCATAATAGTGGCTTGCCAGTTAAATACTAAATGTAAACTGAGACAGTATATACCAACTTACGGTCTTGAGAGGGTCCAGCTGAACATTGTGCTGGAGGATCTCGGCTGAAATCACTAAGTTCCTTAGGAGAGTAATGTCATTACACATAAATACATAAAACACCCTTACCTTGGATATACGCTTTAAAGCCATTTGTCCAGCTGAGGAACAAAGAATTCAAAGCTCCGCTGTATGAGACCACGGTCAACCCAGACTCCATTAACACCAATTCAATATACAAGATCCAATATCCAATATTTGTGCTATGCTATTAATAACTAATTGATTTCTTCGAATTCGATCCTTGTACTTCCGGCTTCATGATTCGATAATGGACTCCCATTGTTGTCCGACCAGAGTTACCTTGTAACTTATTCTTAGAGCTAGGTGAAGATGGCCATATCGTTAGTACATTAGTGAATACGTTTCACTCATCTGATCTTTAGTTTACAAATTTCGGACGATTCAGTCAATACGGAATTCGCCATGTAAAACTGCTAGTCATTGTGACGTTAGCTAAATCTGGTGTTCATTTTTATAAGGTGGTTTGGTATGGTGGAATGTATTGAGTTTTTATTCTGAGGTTAGCTGCATTTAAAAGCCAGTGTATTAAAGATAGAGTGTGGGGTGAAAAATTATTTTCTGCCACATCTACTAATAACTTTAAGGTTTGGTGTTTGTGAAGTGTACGTAGTGGTTGGATACCTAAAATCAGGGAGTGTTTAGATGTTGGTCCCAGTTCTTTCGGATCTTCGCGTTTAATATATCTGGGGATCGCTGTCTTTGATTGAATATTTTTAACTGAGTTTGTGTCGTTTTGTGACCCTTTAAGTGGTAATTTAACGTTCGAACAGCTGGTAGTAGAAATACAGGTGTCACTAAATCTCTCTTTGACAGTCAATATTCATATTTTACTGAAACATTTAAGGTCTATAAACTCATCAAGATCTATCAAATTTGCATTCCTTTCTCGTTCTTGATCGATGAGTTGATTATTCCTTATATCACTGAGAGTTTCTTGAATTAAATAACGGCTGTGAAACGAATCGATCTTATTTCCTCTCGTCTTTTCACTCGACGTTGACAAGACATTAGATCTGGAGTAACTTTAATACCTTATTACGGGATAGATGAGCTAATATTTTCGCTGAAATGGATAAATTATTCGGCTTCGTCATAGCAACCAAATCTAAACAATAGTTGGCTTGCTGATGTGGCGAATTGTTCACGAGGAAAATGACTCGACAAATGATGTTTGCCATACCACACGGCTGGTATACCTTAGCTAAGTTGGGGATAAGCGGTCAGCGAGATTGTATGCAGTCACATTGTAGGAAGACATTACGCTTTCCATGAAGTCATTAGCTACAATCTCTAGGACGCATTTAGCTTCAGTTAGTTCCTTGAGGTTTCTGTCATTATTCTATGCCTATATATGTGTGTGAGAGGTGCTAACTTGTTCAGCTTACCGTTAATTTGGACAGGTGAGTTTCATGATTGTTACTATGATCGGTGTCGGATGGATCACTCGACGACTTGGTTCGTGAACTTGGCTTGAGAAGAGTACACTGATGTTTATGCTAAGTTGCCATTTCAGTATGTATTAGTTTAGTACCTCTTTCATCTACAGATTTCATTTTCGACATTCTAAGTGAAGAGATGGAAGGCTTATCATGTAGATTACTGACTAAAGATGGTAAAATTTGTAGGTAGGAGTTACAGGGTTCACGAGATGAATGTGTTACTCTTCCAGTTTATCAGGCACAGGGTGTACAGATTTCGGAATTTTGGGTGGTCTAGAATTTGGTGGTATTTCTCTTTTACCCAAGTTATTGGTCATACTAAAAAGTGAATGCCATAAGTGCTTGTCTAATTAATGCAGATATTTAAGGAAATAATAACCTTCAGAGTTAATCATCACTAAACACAACGTTGCTGTTACAAAATTTCAGGTGCGCTTGGAACGTATTTGTATCCGGTTTACCTGGCTAGCAAATAGGAGATGAGAGATTCCGGTCAAACCGAAGTCAGCTAGACTTTACAATCATATCTTATTCTAAGAATTTATTCGGACTCTTCACTGCTTTCGAACAAAATTGATAATTATGGCTACCTAACTGAGATTAATACATAAAGTTAGTATACGAGTAGGAGAAACTGACCCGCCAAACTGTACCTACAACATATTTCTCTACTACCTGGCCAGTGTAGACACTATCCTGTCACTCGAATATTTTAACGTGAACAACTCCAAAATGTTAAATCGTCGTATCGTCTATATTTTAGCAACAAACACATCGGCGTACTATTGATTCGTAGATATAATTAGACTAAGTTCGAAATAACATTGATCAATCAAACCATATAGTCAATGAATCGGATGATCCTTTGACAACAGTTAAATGTCAAGCTGTTGTTGTTTCAAGGAAGAGGTAAATTCGGGACTACCTCAATTTGGTGAATGTCGGGTGTTGTTTACAGACCACACATAAGCATATTATACACAGAAGAAATACTTTTCTCTGTTTTTGTTGACTGATGGCTGTGACTTCGACAGCGTCAGTTTTTACGCCGAGTGCGATCTTACATTCCATACTCTGTATTATCGGCTTTTTCTTCTCAAGGTCTCATCCTACCTCGAAATCTTTTAACTGACGTAAGAAGATACTTTTAAAAAGAACAACACTATTTAGGTCATATGCTGTTAATAATAATATGCCAAAGTCACTGTAATACCTTCATAAGTTCGGCTAACTTATCACAAGATTTGTTATAATTTAATATGACTCATACAAGATTATTTTTAACAATGTCACTTATCGAATTATGATGATTAATTCTATTCAAATAAAATATTATTCGGCAAGAGTCGCCGCATCGAAAAACATCCATAGACATTTAATGTATTCGAATCGCATTCTATGCATAATAGTCACGAATCGAAGGTTTTCAAACGCATTTTTACCACATTTTACGAGAGAATCATACACACAAACCTATTTTGATCATCTTAAGGTATGATCCTTTATTTACGAAAAGCTATTTTCACTCCGTAATACGATACAGTTTTTCCTAACCACAGCAGATTTATCAGTTGCAAACGAAATATCCAATTAGATAAAACTATAATTAATAATATATTTTCAAGCACTGTAATGATATATTATTTCTAAGTACAATATTGAAGTAACACTGTCAAAACAATGTAGTTTGCTCAACAAAAACAGTTTTTATATCCACAGAAAAGACCAATAAAGTGGATTCGGACCTCAACTCCCGAGGTGTACAAGGTAGATAAGTTCCTTTGAATGAATGAGACGAAAAAGTCTTTATTAATTTAAATGACAACTGATAACTGTGTCTTAGATTAACATTAAATCGCCAACAACTGAACACAGGACCGAAGC